GCGACCAGGCACGCAGGGAGACTGGCGACCAGGCACGCAGGGAGACTGGCGACCAGGCACGCAGGTAGACTGGCGACCAGGCACGCAGGGAGACTGGCGACCAGGCACGCAGGGAGACTGGCGACCAGCACGCAGGGAGACTGGCGACCAGGCACGCAGGGAGACTGGCGACCAGGCACGCAGGGAGACTGGTGACCGGGCACGCAGGGAGACTGGTCACCGGGCACGCAGGGAGACTGGCGACCGGGCACGCAGGGAGACTGGCGACCAGGCACGCAGGGAGACTGCGACCAGGCACGCAGGTAGACTGGCGACCAGGCACGCAGGGAGACTGGCGACCAGGCACGCAGGGAGACTGGCGACCAGGCACGCAGGGAGACTGGCGACCAGGCACGCAGGGAGACTGGTGACCGGGCACGCAGGGAGACTGGTGACCGGGCACGCAGGGAGACTGGCGACCGGGCACGCAGGGAGACTGGTGACAGGGCACGTAGGGAGACCGGCGACCGGGCACGCAGGGAGACTGGCGACCAGGCACGCACGGAGACTGGCGACCAGGCACGCAGGGAGACTGGTGACCGGGCACGCAGGGAGACTGGCGACCGGGCACTCAGGGAGACTGGCGACCGGGCACGCAGGGAGACTGGCGACCATTCACGCAGGGAGACTGGCGACCAGGCACGCAGGGAGACTGGCGACCAGGCACGCAGGTAGACTGGCGACCAGGCACGCAGGGAGACTGGCGACCAGGCACGCAGGGAGACTGGCGACCAGGCACGCAGGTAGACTGGCGACCAGGCACGCAGGTAGACTGGCGACCAGGCACGCAGGTAGACTGGCGACCAGGCACGCAGGGAGACTGGCGACCAGGCACGCAGGGAGACTCACTGGTGACTAGCGTAATCTTTTGTAAATATAAATGAAGAGAGGAGAGTGAGCCAGCACTCAGAAATGGCAAGTTGCATAGTATCTGAATTCTTTGGTGAGTGAGAGTGAGAGAGAGAGAGAGGGAGAGAGAGAGAGAGAGAGAGGGAGGGGTTTTCCAACGAGCTGATATAGGTAGTAGCACATAGCCTTTAAATAAAGTTAGGAATCTTTAACCTAGCCGTGTAAAACCCTGTGTAGGAGAGAGAGAGAGAGAGAGAGAGAGAGAGAGAGAGAGAGAGAGAGAGAGAGAGAGAGAGAGAGAGAGAGAGAGAGAGAGAATTGGAAAGGCAGGTAACGGTGGACCTTACACTCTAAAATGAGGTTATCTGGTTAAAAAACTGAACTGCCAGTGGGTGTAGCACAGTACAATCTCCCGTCCCTCCACCACCAGTGTCAGTGAGTGTAACACTGTGCCAGTGGGTGTAAAACAATGTCAGTGGGTGTAACCAATGCTAGTGGGTGTAACACAATGCTAGTGTAACACAATGCTAGTGGGTGTAACACAATGCTAGTGTAACACAATGCTAGTGAGTGTAACACAATGCTAGTGGGTGTAACACAATGCTAGTGGGTGTAACACAATGCTAGTGGGTGTAATATAGCTGAGATATGAAGCTAATACAAATTATGTTAATTAATCTCTTATCTGCTTAGTGATCTAATACTGAATGATCCAAATGACAAGTAGATTATTATTATTGAAGCCTCCTAGTACGACGTGTGGACTATTGCAGCTTCCTAGTACGACGTGTGGACTATTGCAGCTTCCTAGTATGATGTGTGGACTATTGCAGCTTCCTAGTACGACGTGTGGAATATTGCAGCTTCCTAGTACGACGTGTGGACTATTGAAGCCTCCTAGTATGATGTGTGGACTATTGAAGCTTCCTAGTATGACCTGTGGATTAATGTAGCCTCCTAGTATGACCTGTGGACTATTGAAGCCTCCTAGTATGACGTGTGGATTAATGTAGCCTCCTAGTATGACGTAGGATTAATGTAGCCTCCTAGTATGACGTGTGGGCTATTGTAGCCTCCTAGTATGACTCAGTCACTAGGAACCAGAAACAGAGTGACTTACAGAAAGGTTATGTAGAGAGCTTCCTTTGTCAACCTTCCTCGGAAGACTATCCCGGAGGGTATATCACTGGGCTTCAAGACCTCGTTAAAGACTCGAGCATCGTTATCAACACACAAGATAAAGGGTGAAATGTCGTCTTAGAGTTACTGCAGCGACTGCAACGCCAAAATGAGCTGATGAACGACCAGCCTGCATATGAATACTACTCAACAATACAGTCTCATAAACATACCGAGGATTTTTTTTATTAAAATTTTTACCAATATTTACGCTCACTGAAGTAGGGCAGAAACTCCTGCTCAGGAGTTCCTAGATATCTTAAACCCGCACATATGCACGGACTACCCAAAATCCTTGCATGCAACACACAACTAGACCAGTCACATTAGATATAAGCAGAACACCACGTAAGTTAGCCGGAGGCCTGGCCAAACACCCTCCCTTGGGAACCATCAGTCCAGCATCAGAGATCTCTCTCTCTGGAACAAGAAACTTAAATTTGATGTTAGTTCCGTTTATACAAAGGTTTTCTCCACACAAGCCACTGATCTCTGACGCAGAGGCAACCACGACTTTAATCTTCTGCCTTCCGGGAATTTCGTCAGCTTGTGTGATCTCAACGTAAACTGTTTCTCTTTCGGCAACAACCTCTACAGAGAAACATGGGATGGTTAGGGATTCCATCATCAGCACTGACATGACGAACTTATGCATGGTACAATTAGAAAAAGAAAGTTTCACAAACATTATCATCAACATCACATGCTTGCAATATCTTCGTAATCGTTCCTAAACGTTTTGAGCTCTAGAACCCGCAGGAGAGGCTCGAGGAAGTTATATCGGCGGTCCACTTCACATCTGAAGAGACCAGTGACAAGTTATCATTCCTTGAGGTCGTCATCCACAAAGTCTACATGAAGCCTGTAGAGCTCTTCTCCTGTCACGATAGTTACAATAAACAAGCCACCATCTTCGGCGTCTTGAGAACTTACCACATTTGTAGCCTCGAGTTTCTTGAATAATGTTCCTACATATACCAACTCTCCACCGAGCCTCACTGTCTTTCCTTCTTCGTCAAAGACTACAAGAACGACCCTTCACTTTATCAGCTCTCCACGTACTGGCATCACTCTGAACAAAATTATCATCGCTCCTAACAGCCAAGTTGTCCTCAACTTCTCCAAAGGCAACACTTAGAGTTACCATAACGATCAACACAACCATTGCAGTCCTCACTAGGATCGAAGTAGAGAACCTTGAAGCAGTCTTTGCAGGGGCTTACAGAATCCTTTACGGAGGCTTTAACAAGGCATTATTGCACCATGAACAACGCATGTGTACAACATTGGTACACCAGCAGCCACTTGATGAGATGGAACGACACTCGCATAATGATTAAGGAACCAAAAACCAGCAAACAAAAAATGTCTTGAAGCCTCATTAATCTCCATTTCTGACACTACTGCACACAACAAAGGCAGCTTCATTTTCTCTTGACATATACAAATGAATTCTTAAAACGACAAACTTCTCCATAATAAACATATTACTTATACTTCTATACAGTAGGCATATATATATATATATATATTATATATATATATATATATATATATATATATATATATATATATATATATATATATATATGCAAGGAATTCGCGAGAGCATGCGAAATATACACAAACACTGATCTCTGGCTGAAGGAGACTCGAACCTACGAACCTTAGGACAAGGTACGCAGTGCTTTACCAATCTACCCACACTGGACCAATACCTTGGCGTGTAGCATGCGCTACACGTTTTGATCCAAGGCAGCCAGCTTTCAGGGAGAAGGCTTACAGCTTTTCATCTCATCCCCTGCATGCATCAGCCTTACTAGAAAGCTGGCTGCCTTGGATCAAAACGTGTAGCGCATGCTACACGCCAAGGTATTGGTCCAGTGTGGGTAGATTGGTAAAGCACTGCGTACCTTGTCCTAAGGTTCGTAGGTTCGAGTCTCCTTCAGCCAGAGATCATTTATATATATATATATATATATATATATATATATATATATATATATATATATATATATATATATATATATATATATAGTTTATTCGAGGGATTTTGCTAAAAAAAATAATCACAATATACAGCCGCTCGTTGGAAGTCGCTTGAAACTAATATACTAGACAGGACGAAACAAAAGATGACAGGAAGATGAAAGAAGACACAAGAAGGTAAAAGAAAATCGCAAGAAATGTAATCGCGGTTCAATGAGCCTGATGGCGCCGCCTCTGTTAAGGCGGCGACAGCTCCACTCTCAATCTCTTTTCGGAAAACTAAGGCTAATTCCTGCCCATAATTCTCGTGGAAGTACCAGCTTGGCGGAGATGCAAGTCTTGAATAACACCTACGATAACTCTGGCAAGATAACTGCATTAACATCCTCTCGCAGGGCTGTTATCGGGATATAGTCTCGCCGGTACCGCAAGTTCTGTGTGTGTGTGTGTGTGTGTGTGTGTGTGTGTGTGTGTGTGTGTGTGTGTGTGTGTGTGTGTTTGTGTGTGTGTGTGTGTGTGTGTGTGTGTGTGTGTGTGTGTGTGTGTGTGTGTGTGTGTGTGTGTGTGTGTGTGTGTGTGTGTGTGTGTGTGTATCCACAACCGAGATTAAGGAACAACATTAGAGACATCATTTTTTAAAATAAAGAGATGGAAGACTATTCATCTTATGCCTGAGAGATACATATGAATTTTATTGTAGAATATTTTCACCAGAGACACACGTGAACGATGGAGCTGCTGCTCCTGCATCTTTACCTCATATGACCGTAACTGTAGTGCTCACGATGAGACTGTTCTGTCATCCACTTGTGTACCACATATGAACATAAGTCTGGTACAGTCACACCGGTGACTAACAACTGACTGATGGGGTCGTTCTCCCCTCATTTGTGTACCATATATGAACGTAACTGTGACATTCCAAATAGAGATCGAACACTCACCGATGGGGCCGTTCTCCTGCACTTCGCCGTAGATGGTGGCGTTGGGGAAGACGGGAGCGTTGTCGTTGATGTCCTTCACCACCACCGTCACTACCGTCTCCGCCACATGTACCTGTTCCCGTCTCATCTCCCGCAAGTACGGTGGCTCATCCGAACTTAAAGAGAAGGCGTCATAGTCCTCGCATCCTCTACCGTCCTTCCCGAACCTCTTCACGTAAAGTCGATCCTCCGGCAGCTGGTCGAGAGCCCGGCGACTCCGCTCCTCTGGCAGCTGGTTGAGTTTCCGTCTATTTGTTTCGTGTACATTAATGGGTGGTACCGTTTGCTGTGTGTCTGCTCGTTCGCTCTCCGGCCTCACACTGCTTAAGTCACCTGGCAAATCACTTTTATTTCTCAAGGAAGTCGTACTTGTGGAGCTTGGTGAAGAGAGGTGATTGTCCCTCTGGTGTTCCAAAGGTTCTTCTGAGACTTCCCTACCAGGCGACGCTCTGCTGTATCGACCCTTAGAAGCATCATCAACCTTGACCGGGGTTGTCCTAAAAGATACAATATCGTTAGCATTCACGCTGGTTTCAGACATGAAACCTAGAGACAATTTTCCCCGACCAGCGTTTACCATGTGTCCCGATCTTCGTCTTGGTGCCTTTACTTTGAACACGCCTCTGACAACTAGATTTTGGTGAACCCCGTTAGTTAGTTGATGTTTCCTTCGCGTGATATATCTCAGCCTAGTGAATCGGGGCTTGACTTGGGAGTGGTCTTCGTTGACACTCTCAGAGGAGTGCTGACTACTATGTACACTGGAAGCTGTAGTATTCTCCCCAGCGTAGTCCCTCGCTGGTGCAGGCGTCTGTTGATCCTCACGACCATTACCTTCAGCTCCGTAGTCTGTCTGTAATGATGGCTTTGGTGTCTCCGGCCTCTTCCCTGCTACCTCACCATTTGTTTTATCCGGTAAAATTCCCTCTTCTGCATTTTGGTGAATCTTGTCTCTTAGTTTTCTCTTCTTATCCTCTGTTCTCATTTTTGGAATTAACTCTCCTTTTTTACGTACAAATTTCGTTGTATTTGCGCTTTCGTCCTCGGGTTTCCCAAAGGAGTTACTCGCTCCTTCGTTAATGCCAACTCTTTCACTTACTGACCTCATCACCAAGGCATCGACACTGTATCTATTTTCCTCTTCTATTTTGGCATTCTGCTGTTTATTTTCCACGAACCTCATCTCTCTCTTCTCTTCAGGTCTTGTCAACACATCCCGTGGCATAACAGAATCCTGACGAGAATAATGAACCAGTGTTCTCCTAGGTCCTGCTTTGTGATGCTGAGATACGAAGTAATGATCCTGGCGTGGTGTCCTGGCGTCGTAATGAGGCTCTAGTGCTCCTTCAAGCTCATGTGTCGTGCTAAATTTTCCCTCTAGTGGTCCCAGAGGGTCGTGTAACTTGTCAACCTTGCCTTGTGATGGCTCCTGAGGGCCGTGTGAAGTAAGATGTAAAGGATGTGAGACTTGGGGTGTTCTCGAGGCTGGGGAAACAACTACTGGTTCCTGAATGCCGCCTTGTGGTGGCCCCTGAGGACCGTGTGTAGGGTCCTGAAGGCCATGTGAGCGGTCCTGAGGACTGTGTGTAGGGTCCTGAAGGCCATGTGAGCGGTCCTGAGGACTGTGTGTTGGTTCCTGAAGGCCATGTGAGCGACCCTGAGGAGAGCGTGAAGGGTCGGGAAAAGCCGTTTGGGGGCCCCGGAAAACCCGTGATGAAAGGGGGGCAGAGGGTTGGGGGTTTTGTGAGCCTGGGTCGCTGGGGGCTCGGGGAAGCAGCTCCCGGGGGGAGGAAACTCGGGGCCGCCCCTCCCCTGCACCTTCACCTTCCACGTCTCTCTGCCCAGCGGCGGGTCCCGGTCCAGCGCCTGCAAGAGTACCACAACATATGATTGCAACCTGTCTACACCTTAAACGTGTAAAAACCCCTTTGAAAAGGGTTTTGTACAACACATAGCAAAAACCCCCAAACATAAAAACCTTCGGGGAAAAAATATTATTAAAAAATTTTTGGGAATATATAAAAAATGACGTTATTATTTATTTGGTGGCAGAGGTGGGAATAAAAGGATTATATTCATTTTTTTCGCCTAAAAAAAATTTGGGGGACAATGCATGCAACACCCATTAAAAAACCCTGCTGGATAAATGTGCATTTTCCCCTTGTTAATTATAAGGATAAAAACCAAGGGAAAATTTTTTTTTTTACAACTATGGGGTCAAAATTTTAAAAATTTTTGGTGAAATTAAAAAAAAATGTTTAAGGAAGGGGACTTTCCCCCCCTTGGTTTAAAGAAAGGGGGGAATTTTAAAATTATTATTATAAAAAAAAAGGGCAGAGGGGAAAAAAACGGCCCAAAACGACATATTATTATTTCTAAGACCTTTAAAAAAAAGGGCAGTAAATACGTTGCCATCTACCAGAGTTTGTGGGTTTGGGTTACTTTTTATTTTTAATATATATTATATATTTATATATATATATTATATTTTGATATTTATATTATATATAAAATTTTAAAATATATATATATATATATAATTTTTAAAACTCGTTGGCCGTATCCCCCCGGGGGGGGGGTGGGCCCAAAAGGGAAAACGAATTTTTCTCCTTTTTTTTTTAGTAATATAAAAAGGAAAAAAGGGGGTTATTTCCCCCTAGCCCCGGGGTTTTTTTGGCCCCTTTACAAACGCAGGGGTTTTGGAAAGAAAAAAAATTCTTTTTTCACTTTTTTAAACCCCGTGGGGCCTTTCCCCCACCTAGGGGGTGCCCAAAACAAAAAACACTGTCTTTGGACGGACCTAAAACCCCCAATTTAAGAGCCCGCCAAGCTGAAATATCCTAAACCCCCCCTTTTAAAAGGCCGGGGAATTGTACTTCTTTTTTCCCGGAAAATAAAAGCCCGGAAAAACCAGTTTCCCAAATTAATTAAAAAAAATATTCCCCGGCCCCGCCCCAAGGACCCCGTCAGGTCCCAAAAATCTTTCGTCTAATTAAACCCTTTTAACACTTCATCTGCTTGCGGGAAAGGCCAAGCCCTCCCCTCACAAAACCTTTTTTACCCCCCCCTCCCCCCAAAAACGGGAAAGCCCCCTTCCCCGCCCTTCAAAAACGTTTAACGCTCCCCAAAGGCATTTTACTTTGGGTTCCATTCTCTTAAAAGGACCAAAAAATCTCAAAAACCCCTTTCTGAAAAACACTTTTGAAACCCTCCACTTCCTATTTTTAATGGAGTCCCTTACCCCTGGAGGGGGGAAAAATTGAATTTGTCTTTTTGGAAGAGTCTAGAGCCCCTTCCTGGGTTTTTTTCGTGAGAAATTGTTTCTTTAAAAAAACCCCTTAAAACACACCCCTTCCACCCCACACAAAACACACCACACACACACAAACACACACCACACAAACCCCAACTCACAAACACAAATACCACAAATTTACCCCCAAACATAAAACCGCACACACACACAGTACACCACCACACACTTTACCCCAAAAACACAACTTACACATACAAAACCCAAGGAACAAGAAGGGAAGCGGGTTTTTACCCCACGAAAACCCAACTAACCCACGGTTTTTCCACCGCCCGGGGGAAATGGCCCAAACCCTTTTTCCCGCCCCCCCCTTTTTTTCCCCCAAGTAGAAATTTCCCCCTTAAACCATAACCTCCTTAACCAATTTTCTTAACCCCTCTCCCCCTTCCCCCCCATCTTTCCCTTAAATTTTAAACCCTCTAAAAATCCCCCCTTTTAAACTTTTTTCCCCCCCTTTAACCCCGGGCCCCCCCATTATCTCTCCCCTCTCCCTTTCCCCCCCTTTCCCCTTCACCTCCCTCCCCCCCCCCCTAGCCTCTCCCCCTTGCCTTCCCATCTCCCCCCTGTTCCCTTCCCCCTTTTTTTGGGCCTTCCTTTCTCCCTCCCCCCCCCTTCCCCCCCCCTTCCCTCCCCCCCCCTCCTCTTCTTCTTCTCTCTCTCCCCTCTCTTTCTTCTTTTACTCTCTCTTTTGGGGCCTCCTCTTCTTGCTCTCTCTTTTTCCCCTCTTTTTGGCTCTCCTTTTTGGTCTTCTCTCTCGGGCTCTCCCTCTCTTGCTTTTCCCCTTCTCTTGCTCTCTCTTTTCCTTGCTCTCTTTTCCCCTCTTGCTTCTCTCTCTCTTGTTTCTCCCCTTTTCTTTGGGCTCTCCCTTTTTCTTGTCTCTCTCTCTCTTGCTTTCTCTCTCTCTTGCTCTCTCTCTTTTTTTCCCTTTGCTCTCTCTCTCTCTTTGCTTCTCTCTCTCTTGCTTTTTCCTTTTCTCTCTTGCTCTCTCTTTCTTGCCTTTTCTCCCCTTGCTCTCTTTTCTTTTGTTTCCTCTCTCTCTTGCTCTCTCTCTCTCTTGCTCTTTTTCTCTTCTTTTTTCTCTCTCTCTCTTGCTCCCCTCTCTCTCTTGCTCTCTCTCTCTTTTTGCTCTCTCTCTCTCTTGCTCTCTCTCTCTCTCTTGCTCTCTCTCTCTCTCTTGCTCTCTCTCTCTCTCTTCTTCTCTTCCTCTTGTCTCTTCTCCCCTTGCTCTCCTCTTCTTGCTCTCTCTCCCCTTTTGTTCTCTCTCTCTTGTCTCTTCGTCCCCATTTTCCCTTCAAAACTCCCCCCTTCCTACTTTTTCCCCTTCCCACTTTTTCCCCCTTTCCTTCCCTTCTCTTTCTCTCACAAAAAAAAAAAAAAAAATGGTGGGGACTCGCAGGAAAAAAGGATAGATAAAAGGGGGTTCGGGTGGGGAGGGTGGATGGAGGGCAGGGGGAAAAAGGATAAAAAGAGTGGGAGAGAAAATTAGGAAAAGCTTTCTGAAAAATGGAAAAAGGGAAAATTCTGTAAAATTTGGGAAAAGGGGGGTTGGGGGAAAGGGGGACAAAAATTGGGGCCCCAAGTGGGAAACTGCAGTACCCAAGTTTAAGGGTCCTAGGGTTAAAGAAAAAATTGGGTGAAGCGAGTTCCCGGGGCAGTGACCAGAAAAGGGACAAGCTTATGAAGCTGCGAGGCCAAAACGGGAAAGGAAGGAATTTTTTTGAAATTTTGCAAAGGGTTTCCATAATCTCCCAAAAGGAGGCCAAGGGTGAAAGGGAAGTTTCAGCTGGTTGCAGATGGAGAGGGGATAGGTCGGAATGCTGAGGCCAAAAAGGTCAAGACCCACGGGAAAAAAAACAAGGGAAAAAAATGACCCTTTAAAGGGGCGGGATCCAGAGTCCAGAGGGTGGGGCCAATGGGGGGAAAGGGAAAGGGAAAAATCGTGTTTACCCGGGGGGCTTAAGGGAAAAGGGGAAAAGGACCCCACATAAAAGGGCAGCGGGAAAGAAAAAAAGGAGTTTGAGAAAATATACGGAAATAGGTGAAGAGATGGCCGAGATTGAAAAATTTTCGGGAGAATGGGGGGGGTACTGGGAAGGGGAAAACCCGCCCAATCAAGTTGATTCTCGGGAGGGAAAAAAGTCGGAACATTTTTCCTCCAAGAAAAAAACCACGATTGAAATTTTCTGGGAAAGATACAAGGGGGTGTTTTTAGACAGAGACAGAAAAAAAATTCAGAACGACAGCAGTGGGGAAAACAAAAAAGCAAAAGGGGAGTTTGGAAAAGAGACAAGAGGGAACCAGCAGAGGTCAGTCGGCAGGACAGAACAGCAAAGGGGAAGCACAACACAACTACCTAGAACCATACAAATAAAACCCCATCCCAACAAAACCTAGAAACCATACCCCAAACCCCACCCAACCCCCGAGCTATAGAATCCCCCAGTATTGCCAAACCCGGTCTCCACCCTCACAGGGGCCCCCCCCAACCCCAGTGTTGGAAAGGGGGAAAAAAAAAAAAAAAAAACCAAAAAAAAAAAAAAAAAAAAAAAAAAAAAAAAAAAAAATAACCCCAAGGGGAAAAAACTTTTAAGGAAAAACCCAAATTTCAGGGTATGGGGGTAAAAACCCCGGAAATTGCCAATTCTTTTACCCAAAGGATACCCCCAAAAACCCGAGGAAAGACAGAGGGAAAAAAGGGGGGTGGGGGAGTGGGGGTTGTGATCAAAAACCCCTGGGGAAATTTTTATGGCTGGAGAGGGGGAGATAGCGGAGAAGAAAAATGATTACAAAAGTGGGGAAAACTTTTATCTGGAAAGGGCCCCAAAGGGGGTAATTTGCAGTGATGTTTTAACCACCAGAACAGCAGGAGGCCAAAGGGAAGGTACACGGAGCAAAAAGAGCGATTTTTGAACCAGGCTAGAGTGGGCCCGAAGAGCCATGCTGCAGGGCAAAAACTCCTGAAACATGGGTGACTTTAAACCCCCAAGGAGACGATTGGGGAACTTGGGCCCCCAAAGGGGGGCCCAAAATACATGGAGGGCTAAAATGATGGGGTGGTACTGGAGAAACCCTTTAAAAAACCAAAAACCCAAAAGGGGCACTTTCAAGAGAAGAGGAGGGTGAAAACCCGCAAGGCTGGACTTAGTATTCCCCCTTTAGTAGAGCAGTATGAGGGAAACAATATGAAAGACCCCTTGGGGGCCCGTGACCCCGTGGTTTTTTTAAACTTGAAAAACAGTAGGGGGGCCACAAGTGGGGGGGAAGAGGAAGGCCAGGACGGGAAAGAAGCCCAAAATACAAGAAAGGGGTTTCCCCAGGAATGAGGAACTACCCGAACGGGGTCAGTGGGGGCTGGGAAAAAGGAGGGAAGCCCGGGGTTTTGAGATGTGGGAAAATGGGAGCAACAAAAAAGCAAGGAGGGGTGAGGAGAGGTTTGTACCCCAAGGGGGGCCCGGATTTTAAAGAAAAAAAAAGGGGGGAGCCATGGGGTTTCCAAAGGGGCAGGGGGGGCAAAAACCCAAATGTGCTTTTTGGGAAAGGAAAATATAGAAAG